ACACACACACACACACACACACACACACACACACACACACACACACACACACAGACACACACACACACACAATAATAATGCTGCTACTACAGAGAGTTTGTTTTATTTTACACCTCAAGGTTCATGTGAAAACCCTGACAAACAAAAAGGACACCAAATTCAAAAGGAAACTTATGAAAAATATATTTGAAATAGCAAACATAAAGCCTATTTTTTACCTTTAAGATTTTTTTTTTACAAAGCTTCTATCTAAAAAAGCATGGCAGCACAGTTTAGGTTTGCAAAGTTGCATCTGAACAAACCATAAGACTTCGAGATGTTTGGCCATAATGCACAGCAGCACGTTTAGTGAAAACCTAACACAAGCATAAGCACAAACACCTCATACCAGACGTCACACATGCTGGTGGAGGGCTGATGATTTTGGGCTTGTTTTGTAGCCACAGGACCTGGGCAACTCACAGTCACTGAGTCGACCATGAACTCCTCTGTATACCAAAGTATTCTAGAGTCAAATGTGAGGCCATCCGTCCGACAGCTAAAGTTGGGCCAGTATTGGATCATGCAACAGGACAATGATCCCATGCACAGCAGCAAATCTACAACAGAAGGGCTGAAAAGAAAAGAATAAAGTAAAGAATCAAGGTGTTTCAATAGCTCAGTCAAAGTCCAGACCTCATCCTGACTGAAACGCTGTGGCGAGAGCTGTGCATAAACTTGAATATAAACTGGAGCAATGTTGTAAAGAAGAGTGGGCCAAAATTCTTCCAGAATGATGTGAGAGACTGATAAAGTCATACAGAAAATGATTACTTCAAGTTATTGCTGGATCTACAGGTAACTGAATCATAAGGTGTCGTAACTATGTCACACATGGTTTTTCCATCTTGGCTTTATTTTTGTTAATCAAATAATGACACGGTGTGATATGTCATGTCATATTGTTCATCTGAGGCTTTATTTCCAAATTTTAAGACTTTCCAAGGACCAGATAATCTTTTATCTCCAGATACAAAAAAACATGGAATTCAATAGGGTGTCCTAACTTTTTCACATGACTATATATACTGTACATACTACCATTCAAAAGTTTGGGGTCGGCAAGATTTTGTTTTTGAAAAAAGTACAGTATATGCTCATCCAAGGTGGCATTTATTTGCCCAAAAAAAAAAAAAAAAAAAAAATGAATACTTTTGCTCTTTTTTTTTTTTATGTTTTGTGAAAACCTAAGGAGCATATCAGCACAAACACCTTAGTCACACATGCTGGTGGAGGGCTGATGATTTTGGGCTTGTTTTGTAGCCACAGGACCTGGGCACCTCACAGTCGTTGAGTCGACCGTGAACTCCTCTGTATAGCAAAGTATTCTAGAGTCAAATGTGACGCCATCCGTCCGACAGCTAAAGCTTGGCCAAGATTGGGTGATGCAACAGGACAATGATCCCAAACACACCAGAAAATCCACAACAGCAGCTGAAAAAGAAAAGAATCAAGGTGTTGCAAAAGCCCAGTCATAGTCCAGACCTCATCCCGACTGAAATGCTGTGGCGAGAGCTGTGCATAAACAAATGCCCACAAACCTCAATAAAACTAGAGCAAATCATCAAAATTCCTCCAGAACGATGTGAGACTGATAAAGTCATACAGAAAATGATTACTTCAAGTTATTGCTGCTAAAAGTGGATCTACAGGCAACTGAATCATACGGTGTCCTAAGTTTGTCACACATGGCTTTTCCATCTTGGCTTTATTTTTGTTAATCAAATAATGACACAGTGTGATATGTCATGTGTTTATTTCCAAATTTTAAGACTTTCCAAGGACCAGATAATTTGTTATTATCTCCTGATACAGAAAACCATGAATTTCAGTAGGGTGTCCTAACTTTTTCACATGACTATACATTATAATATACAATAAATACCTTATATATTATTTAAAGTTATATAATTTAAAACATTAAATAAAATATAAATGTAAAGTTTCATAAAAATATATGTAATTTTTATTTTAATCTTAATTGTCCTAAAATTAGCTTTCATTGCTTTATGCAAAATATGTTTTAACATTTCTTTCCTTTGATTTTGAGGTGAAATTCCAAAAATCTAATAATAATATTCCTGTAAGTGGAATCCTCATGAAACAAAGGACTTCAGGTACTGATTTGGACTGAACACAACATGTTATAGCCGATTGTTCGCTGTTTAACTGAGAGTGGCTCCATCTGTGGTTTTCTCCTTCTCTCTCTCTCTCTTTTCATTGCAATACTTCATTCTGTCACATCCAGTGAAATCACACCTTCTCGTCTCCAGATGCTTCTGACACACACACACACACACACTCTCTCTCTCTCTCTCTCTCTCCCTCACACCCACTCACTTTCATAGACACATACACTCCAAATGTTTAATACACACTTACACCTATTGACTAAAACACACACACAGTCCTCATACAATTAATGCACATGTACAGAAGCACTCATACACACATTTCACTTCTTATCACATGCTTGCACGTTGTAATTCTGCTCACGTGGAACTGTGGAATGCAGAACTCCCCGCTCACAAACAGCACAGTGAAAAACCTCATTCGGAGTCCATCCAATCAGCTTCACTCATCAATAACAGCCAATCTGCTGCCTCGGCAACTTTACCATGAATCTACCACCACTTCAGATCACTTCATTTGACCAGAGAGTGAAACCACTGTCGGAAATTTGAAAACAGATAAAGACATACACACATTCTAAAGAATGTGGGTCATTTTTTCAATATTAAAACACCTTAACATAGAGGGACAACTTAAAAAGACTGATTTTCCAGAAGAAGAAAAAAAAAACTGAAACACTGGGACTCTGTTACAGTGTTTTTACATTAACGAAAACTATTAAAATTATTTTATGTAATTGGAAGTAAAGTTTAAAAATAAAATATAAATATTAGATGCAAACTTAACTAGAACTGGTGCCTTGCCAACTAACTCAAATAAATGCTTGTTGAAGTACTAAAATTACTAAAAATAAAATAAATTAAGGCCACACTGAATTTTTGTTTTTAATTAATAAAAATAACAAAAGAATATAACAAAATGACTAAAACATTTACTTTAAATTTACTGAAAATATAAAAATACAAGCTTTCAATTCAAACAAATAATAAATACAACAGTATATAAAAAATACTAAAATAACACTGAGGTGATACCGAAACATTTAGTATGAGTATCCCAATATGTCACAATAAGTACTTTACATTGCATGAAATGCTTTAAATTTAAATAATATCTAATACATGTTGCAACACCTTAACATAGAGGGACTTAAAACTTAAAAAGACTGATTTTCCAGAAGAAGAAAAAAAAAACTGAAACACTGGGACTCTGTTACAGTGTTTTTACATTAACGAAAACTATTAAAATTATTTTATGTAATTGGAAGTAAAGTTTAAAAATAAAATATAAATATTAGATGCAAACTTAACTAGAACTGGTGCCTTGCCAACTAACTCAAATAAATGCTTGTTGAAGTACTAAAATTACTAAAAATAAAATAAATTAAGGCCACACTGAATTTTTGTTTTTAATTAATAAAAATAACAAAAGAATATAACAAAATGACTAAAACATTTACTTTAAATTTACTGAAAATATAAAAATACAAGCTTTCAATTCAAACAAATAATAAATACAACAGTATATAAAAAATACTAAAATAACACTGAGGTGATACCGAAACATTTAGTATGAGTATCCCAATATGTCACAATAAGTACTTTACATTGCATGAAATGCTTTAAATTTAAATAATATCTAATACATGTTGCTTTAATTCGATGCACATTATTTTAAATAAATGATGTACTTGTAAACCTTCATCAAAATTAAAACTTGCTCTGCCTCTGAAACGATGTTTGTTTTTGGAAGACATCATCACGTCCACTTATTTTTCAACCTCCTACAAGGACACTTTTCACGATCAATTCCAGATGGAAAAAAAATCATGTCCCAACATTTTTTTCTCACTGAATACCCTGTTTCTGTTGCTTGATTTTTGACGAAAATCTGCAGAAAAGATCTGGTTATTCTCTCATTTTTATTTGCGCTTTTGCCACTTTTTATTGAAAGGACCAACCAGACTCAAACTTGTCAGAGCATGTGCACTACC